ACAGTGCTCGTGCTTGTACCACTAATTTTAGAAAATTGTGCCAAGGAATTCCAACAATTTTTTGGCATTTATTGGAATTTTACATACGGAACAGAGAGTGCTCAAAACAGATAGAATGCTCATGTTAATACCACTAAATCCAAAAAATTCCAAAATCGAATTTAAGCAAGCGATTATAGAAAAGTGGATTAACAAAATACGTCATAACTCCCCCGAAAAGTCCTTGGTCAAGTCTTGCTTGTTTGGTACGGGAAAATGACGACAGCTATGAATTTTGTATAGATTTTAGGCGACTCAACTACTCAACACCGTCACCAAGAAAGAGGCTTACCCATCACTTACATTTCAGCTATTTTGGATCTATTCAAGGAGACAATAGTCCGCATCATGGCAGGTACCTCTCGATAAATCTTCGCAGGAATATAGGTACTGCATATACGATTCCAGGTAGAATTTTTTCATTATTTTCTGCGTATGCCATGCTATTTGGTCAAATTAATGTGCCAGCTACTTGGCAGCGTATTCTGAACTGTGTGTCTTGGGTGTTGATTTAGAGAATCATGGTGTTTTAGATGCCGATGGTATAATTTTCAAGACCTTTACACAACATTTGAAAATTTTGAAAATAGTTTTTGATGGTCTGCGAGATGCATAACTTGTTGTGTCCGAGTCGTAGTGTCAGTTTTGCAACTAAAATATCTTTGGTTACGTTGTAGATAAAAAAAGGTTTGAGACCAGATCCTGACAAAGTACAGGCAATTCTAAATGTTTCTTCATCACAAAATATTACTGAAACACTTTGCACCCAACTTCTCTTCTATCTTGGCGCCTATAACTCGCCTAACGAAGAAAAATATTGCTTGGGATTGGTCGATGGAATGCCAGGAATCTTTTAATGGTATTTAGGAGACTTTGGTTACTGCACCAACACTTGGCTGGTTGGTGGGGATGCAGAGTGAACAGGCCGGGTTAGGTGGCCCTAACACCGCAGCTATCGGCTTTGTATTGTCCTGTCTGTCTGTTTAGTCAATGAAAAATGTCGTGACCTTGATTAGGTTTAGGAGCCTCTACACCCTGTGACTTTTGGTGAGTTTAGACATAAGGTCTTCTGGCCCTATCCATCTGTATGTCCACCATAGTCTGAGGCTTTACTACACTCGAATATTATGTCGCTGGTGGTTTTATCCTCCTGGTCACAAAGTCTGCATATGGGTTCTTCTTGGGGGATGTCCAGTTATTAGTCTGATTTGATTCCTGTGTAGGAACTCTTCAGTAAGTTTAGGTGATGGTTGTTGTACCATTAGCATACTGTGTCTGAGCTTCGGAAGTTTGCCAATGAAATTGGTTTTTTGTTCTTACCGAAGATTTTGTGGTGCCAATTGCCGGTTCAGGACCAGTATAACTGGTTGCTGGCTGATCCTTCTCTTACCAGAGGATCTGCTTTTTCATTTCCTTCAATTTCCCTATGCTCGCGCACCCATTTGAGGGGTTACCTTGTTGGCCATACTCAGGGTTTTGAGGTTTTTCAAGCATTCCCAGACAAGTTTGGATTTTATTTCGAAGCTGTTGAGTGCTTTAATCGAGGCTTGACTATCTGAGTAGATAAAGATGTTTTTACCTGTGTATCCCCTCCTTAGGTTTTCTCTCAGACACGAGTCATTGGCATATATTTCTACTTGAAATACATTAGTGTATTCTCCCAGAGGTTGATTGATGTGTAATCTGGAAGTTTGTCGATATATTCCAGCGCTGGTTACAGTTTCTCTTTTGGAGCCGTCAGTAAACTAGACAATTTTTTGTTTAGGTGTTGCCCCGGTATTTCTTACTGGGACAATCTCGATTGCGAAGGGTTTTTCGAAAGACTTTTTCGACATCATATAGTCGCTTACCCATGATTAAAATCGGGTTTGTGATTATTTAGGTGATTGCCGCATGTCCATTTGGTTTTGGGTTCCAGGTTTCGTTCAGCTGGAGACGATATGCTCCGATTCTAGCCTCCACGTTGACGAAAAGGTCAATTGGTGAGAAATTTAGGATCGTTTCCATACTTGGCGTTGGTAAGCTTTTCTGTGCATCGGTAATACAAAGACATGCAAGTATCTGGATTTTTGCTAGCTCCAGGTTTGCTTGTTTTTGGTTAACTTTAGGCCACGATACAAGTGCATCATATGTTATCATTGGTCTTACAACCATAGTGTATATCCAGTGTAAAACTGACGGTTTTAGTCCCCATGTTATCCCAGTTACTCTTTTTAGTGATATCAACGACATCTTGCTTTTGGTGGTTATCTTTTGGATGTGTTGGTTCCATGTCAGCTTCATATCTAGGATGACGCCTAGAAATTTATCTTCCCTGCCAAACTCCAAAGTTTTTTGGAATAGACTGGGGGCTACTAAGTCCTCCAGATTTCTCTTTGTCGTGAAAGGAATGAGTTTTGTTTTGGAGGGGTTGACGCGAAGTTGCTTACAGGATTCTATTTTTGCTTTCCGGCTTTCCTTGTTGTATTTCGTTAGGGTTTGTTGATATGCTTCCCAGTTTCCGGTTTTCTTTGCTTTATTAAGTTTTTTTTTTGAGAATTTTGCGGTTTGCATTCCACCACTTTTGCTTGCGAGGTGGTTTGCCTCAATTCTGCGCAGTTTTTATGATACGAGCTTTGGATGGCTTCCTGCAATTGCAGGCATACTTCCTCTGTATCTGTTCTTGTTTTAATTATCGTTTTAATGTTAGTCAGGATTAGTCTTAGGTCCGGTCGGTATTTTCCCAGTCAGTATTATGAGGATTACGATACCTATACAAGCTCTGGTTTATCAATATGTTTGATTTCCATTTGTATATACCTATGATCCCGAGAGACTCGGTTCATCATCTAGCCTCTAGTTACATATTTGAGAGTTTATTCCGAGAGACGCCAGAGTTACATCATTACGTTCTTGCCTATTTTTTGTTAGAAAATTAGATTTAGTTCCCCGATTCAGAATGTCTAGGTTATTAGAGATAATGAAGTCAAGTGAGTACTCACCGCGTTGGTTTATGTCGCTACTATTCCATGCGGTGTGATGGGCACCAACTCTTACTTGCCCTGATTTCGGTCATGTATTCACGTTGCAAACGAACACCTCTAACTATGGATTGGGTGTAATTTTGGCTCAAGAATTTGATGAGAGGGAAAAGGTGGTATGTTATTTCAGGGCCGTATCTAGGGGGGGGGGGGGGGGTTTTGGGGGTTCAAACCCCCTCCAAAAAATAATAAAATTCAAAAAATTTAACTTAAAAACAAACAACACTTATTAAATACTTATTTTTTTTATTTTATTTTTATTACTAGTGTAACAATTTTTTTTTGCCACTTTGTCTGACCCCCCCCAAAATTTTGGTCTAGATACGGCCCTGTGTTATTTATCTCGCTCTCTTACTCGGCAGGACATGAAATTGATGGTTACTGAGACAAGGGCGGTTTAAAGGGGGGGTAGAGGGGGTAATCACCCCCCCCCCCCAGACAAAGATTTTTTTAAAACACTTAAGTATAAAATTTCAACAAAAGACAAGTTCTATAAAGTAAAGCACAGAAGGCATTGTATAAATTGATAGGCTCACTAGTATCGACGTACCTACTACTATACAGTGAAGTAAAGGGTATTTCATTTGAAAAAAAGCTATGGTTGTTTGAAATATCTGGTTTTGTGTACAGTTACAGTATTGCGAACACCCTATACAATGTTGTCAGATTTTCATAGGACCATGAAGTAAATGTAAGTATACACTAATAGCCTGCAAAAGATTTAGCTTAAGGATCTCAAATGAATGAAATGTGTTGGTTTTTGTTGATACATGCATTGACACATGCAAACTGCCAAACTGCGATTTTTTGAAAAAGTTTCAAATATTTCAAAAAGGGTCGGGTTTTTATAGAAATTTATAGATTTGCTCACAGATGTGTACATAATTGACCCATTAGTATAGGTAATTCCTAAGAAAAAGTATATAGGATTGTTGTAAGGTGTTCCATTTAAAATAACAAAGGTCTGTCACATACCTCATTTACGGAACACCCTGTGTATATTCAAAAATATTTTTAACTACTAATGGACCTTAGAGTATTAAACAACTTTGTAATTTAATTTTTTTTTCTTGCATTACCCTGAAAGGAGATATCGTCTACTAAGTGGACACCCTGTATAACTATTTTGCCGGCATCGGGATACATTTTTGCTTGAGGTGTGTTTCAGACGATTTTCAGGTGCAAATTTGGGCGTGGCACCCTTAAAAAAATTTCGCCTCCGGCGGGAAGCCGATCGACACTTAATGATTTTCCCGTCATCCATTACCCCCCCCAGAAAATCATATATGCACCGCCACTGTACTGACAAGGAATGTCTTGCAGTCATCTGGATTGTGGAGAAGTTGACCCACTACTTGAATGGAGTTCCTTTTAATAGTCCGGGAGGTGGTGTCACTTTTGAACTAGTGATCGATCTTCACACGAATTTTTCAGCGTGCGTAGTTCTTCACATGGATATATGAGATCCGCACGTCAGTCAGTCCAATAGCGGTGGGTGTGGGTGTGGGAGTCTGTGGAACTTGTCAGAAAAACTATGAAAAAAAGTTAGCAATCTGAACATGAAAATTTGTTACAATGTTAATTATTGATAATTAAACGTGAAACTATTCGTCAGTCATGCTCCCGACGGGGGAAACATCGTTAGTCAGAGGTTTGAAGTAGTCGGAAAAGTTGGAAAAGTGACCGACCTTCACTTAAAATTTTATGGACTGATTATTTGATTCAAATCAAGCATGAAAATGAACGTCAGCCACCTTCATCGTAGTGGATTCTGTGTCAGTCGGGTTTTCAAAGTCGAGGGCAGTGACCAGATTTCTTTGGCGCGCTGCATCTTATGAAGTTAGACTGACGAATAATCCACCAGCCACGTGCCGATTGACGATTGTTTATTGAATGTCTAAGACAATTTCTCATTTACTTATCCATTTCAAGGTGATATAGATCACTGAAGAAGTGGAAAGTCATGAGCCCGAACAATGTGACACAGTCCATGCTATGACAGAAATTCTTGTATCTTTTGAAAACATCTCACAAAAAATCTTACGTTCTTTCACTGCGAACCGCGCAAAAACAATCATTATTGCGTTCGATCATTACGTTTCCCCATCAATAAGAGATGACGAGCACATAATGCGTGGAAGAGTAGAGGGAAATCGTTTTACCATCAATGGACCTCAGCAGAAACGATCATCGAATTTTAAAAATGATTTGAATAATACTTATTTCAAGGAAGCGTTGGTGAGATTTTCACGTGAACATTGAAATCAGGACCATATGAGTTCTCACTTTGTTGACCGAACTGTTTTCATAAACCATGAGAAATGTTTCAAGTTCGAAGTCATTGATAATAAGATTGTCAGAACAGTGGAAGAAGATTTGTCATGCTTTGAACATTTGGAAGCTGACTCTAAAATTAGTTTTCACGTCTGCCAATTGAATTTCGATGCTCATGTAACGATACGATGTTCAGACACAGATATAATTATTGTGATTATGCTCGGTATGCATAAAATCACACATCATTTACAGATTTCGATTCTCACAGGACGAGAAAAAGATTATCGTTACATAGACGTCACAAAAATATATAAAAAATAAGGTGGAGACTTGAGTGAAGCGTTGCCAGTTTTCCATGCTTTTACTGGATGCGACTTCAACCGCGCTTTCTATCGTAAGAGGAAAAAAAGCCTTACGAACTTCTAAAAAAATCAAGAAATTATATCGATACCTTTATTGCTATTTCACACTGGTCTGATGATGATTTGAGTAAACATTTTTCTGTTTTGGAGGGTTTTAAACTAAAAGCAATTTCGAAGGGTTAACTTTACCGCCGTGTAACTCTGAATTATATCCGCATTTCTTAAGAACTTCGCACATTGTGCAGATGTGGTGTCAAGCTTCGCAGCACATAACTATATAATCAGTCCGATTGATTATGGCTGGCAAGAAGAAGATGGAAAATATATTTTCAAGTGATTCGATGGAGAACAGGTACCTGACCTTCAAGATATCACCGATGATTTATCAACAAATTTAACAGGTAATCAAACATTTCATTGCACGTTACTGATCTATTATCTGTTTTCACTCTAAAAATCCGTATTATTTACAGATTGTCAAGAAGATGCTGACGGAGACGAAGAGTCATCAGATTATGACGACGATCGACGATGACGATGAAAGCTTTACAGAAGAGTCGGACAGCCAGAGTGATAGTAAAACCGATTAATTTCATAAGATTTTTGTATTTTGTATTAAATAAAAAAATAATGATATTTCAGTGAACGCGATATTTTAATTTAGAAGAATAGTGGTAGTAACTGTTCATGAATTGAATTTAGTTATTTATATCAAATAAGAATTGATCAAAAAATAGCAAAATCTCATGCACATTCAATAAATAAACAATCGTCAGGGAACTCTGTAACGGATCGAGAGATTTTCTCTCTCTATTGACGTCTCCTCTTTATTGATTTCGACGAGAGTGAGAAAGACAGCAAGTGCCATAGCGATAGGGATAACGATCTCTATGCGTTACAGAGTTCCACCCTGGTCACTGCCCTCGACTTTGGAAACCCGACTCACGCAGAATCCACCACGATAAAGGTGGCTGACGTTCATTTTCACGCTTGATTTGAATCAAATAATCAATCCATAAAATTTTAAGTGAAGATCGGTCACTTGAATTTTCCAACTTTTCCGACTGCTTCAAACCTCTGACTGATGATGTTTCCCCCGTCGGCAGTGTGTCTGACGAATATTTTCACGTTTAATTTATCAATAACTAACATTCTAAAAAATTTTCATGTGCAGAATATTTACTTTTTTTCATAGTTTTTCCGACGAGTTCCACAGCCTCCCATACTCACGCCCACCGCGGTCGCGCTGACTGACTTTCAATTTTGATCACAGTAATCGCGAGACTCTTCAATAAATCACATTTGAGTCGGAGATGAATCACTAATAAAAAAGTGACACTACCTCCCGTACTATAAGGCAATCGCAGACCATCACTCTTTCTGCATAATTTAAAGGATCCTTGAGGTCATCTCACTCGTAAAGCACTTCGTTCACAGCCTCACGACTTCCAGCTTCTGCTCCATCGAAAAGTGACAGACCATGTAGTTCTCGATTCTCTTTCTAGCTCTGTTTCAGTATCTACAGAAACCATAGCCGATTTACAGCACACGTTTCCTGATACTAATGATTCAGAATTCGCAATTGCAGCCTGAGCGGTATTTTCTAGCTATCAATATGACATTTTTGGATTTTTGTAGAAGTTATATGTTTGTATTATGAGTTGATTCGTAAGTTGTTAATTGTTCTTTGCCGATAGATTGATACTATCGAATGCCTTCTTTCTTCTTACAGTCCACGGAATCAAGATAGAGGAAAAGATGGTATTCGTTAGCTTCCTTTATGAATTTTTTTATGTTGAGAAGGTGATGGTCAGAAGTCTGAAACTATAGTGGAACTCAGTCTGCTCAACGGGCTTGTAACTATTTTAAGTGATAATCGGTTGGTTTTGGGTTAGTGATAATTTTCATGAACATATATTTCTAGTAAATAGACCAATAGAGAGTAGTGAAATGAGATTTGACAGATTCTAGTCCTTGGACTTTACCAAAATTTCATGAGAATCGCAAAGGATGTGAAAGAATCAAAAATTCTTGCAACTTATCGAAAGATCGTGGAGGATTGTTAGTGACTTAGTGCTTAGTGGGGAAGAATAATAATAAAAAGTGGTTATAATAAGTTAAAAGCTGATGATTCTAACCACTGGAACATTGCATCCAATCTATCGGCTAGTATTCATCAACCTCTTGATCCCAGGGTCTATCTGGAGCATATTGTGGTGGTTGAGACATTCTTTTTCTCCCCAGAGTCAATACAAGAGATTAAGGAAATTATTTGCGATATTAAAAATAGGAATAGGTACATCACGTTAGGATAATTTTTCTTTGAAGGTTGTGTCTTATTTGCCTGATGAAACCTTGCTAGTTTCTTCAAGAGCTATAGATAGTTCGTTTCTAAGGGGCCAATTTCCTGTGTGTTTTAAAGAGGCTGTGGTTAATCCTTTGCATAAGGGTGGAGACGCCCAATAACGCTGCTATCTATTATGGCTAAAATAGTGGAAAAGCTTGTGAAGAGAAGGATAACTAGGCTTTCTCAGTGGGCTTGAACTCCTATCGCCCAACATGGTGTCCGAGAGAAGATTTGCACTGGCGATGCCATTTTCAGTTTTCTTGAGCTGCTCTATGGGAAAGAAGTCGTTTTCCCCAAATATGGCATTCCGTATTGCTTGAATGGTATGGTTTTGGGAACGCTGCTTTGAGGTGGTTTGGCTCCTACTTCGAGGGTAGATCGCAGACTGAGAGATTTCAGGATGGGGAGTCAAAACGAATGAGCATCAATGCTGGGATCCCACAGGGCTCTGTGCTGGGACCTATTTTTTTTCTCGTTTACGTCAATGATTCACCCCAACTATACTTTTTTTTGCGGATCAAGACCATCTTGTAGCACGGTTCTAGCTCTGGAAAGATTGAAGAATGATGTCACTGCGGATTTGAGAAGGGTAAAGGCCTGCTGGTATGCGACACAAATTTAGTATCGTTCAATATTTCGAAAACCAATGTTCTGAACTTTAGATGAGAGTGTATCTAGATGATAATCCTGTAACTTGACAAAATCACAACAAATTCATGGGCCTCATAATTGGTAAGTCTTTAAGTTTGGGGATCACATTTTTGATATTCATAAAAGTAGTTTCTTCGGGATGTTATGCCTTAAGAGTGATATCTGGGAGGTTCGATGTCTACATATGCTTTTGGGGTTGCTGCACTTTTTCATTGTTTGATTCAGTTTTCTGCTTCAGAGGAGGGCAATCCGTTGTACATTCAGGGTCGGGATGCGTGCTTCCTGTCTTTTCATTGCGCATGCTATTCTTAAGCCTAGTTCTCATGGTGCGGGATTCCGCATTGCGGGTCCGGAAATCGCAGTTTTTTGAAAATCGTAATTTTTGATGGTTCACATGAAACGGAATTCCGGATGCGGTTTTATGTCAAATACATGTGATCTTAAACCTAACATATTTTTTTGTTTTTGTTTTCCTGTGTGCCTGGCTGGATGGATATATTGCATAATTAAATTATTATCAATGGAAAAGACAGAGGGAGGTTTGAAAAAAAAACAAAGTATCTGCTACTACGACAAGTAGTAGTATATTCTCCGTAGTGTTTACTTTAAAATGAAGTAGATACTACATTTCGAAACTACCGGAAATTAGTAAATCCTTTGTTGTGAAGTAAATACTTCGTAGAATATACTACTACCCGTAGTAGTAGCAAGTACTTTGTTTTTATTCAGACTACCACCCAATATACGTTAGTATTGGGTTTGCTATTAATCCATAATATGCATGAAACTTCATCAAAGAAGCAGAATAGCAGAGGAATATTAAAAAAAGGAAGATGTTGTTCAGAAATATTCTTCTGAAAAGGCATGATGAACAAGGGGTTTGCCGTAATAATAATGTATTTGAAAATAAAACAAGCACACAAGCAAGCAGATCAATTTATTTTTGTTAGGTATTAATTGTTTTATTGTTTTTTGTTTGAGGTTAGTTTATTTGTTTATGTAGAAATCAAACAAAGATGAGAAATATTTAGACAAAGACAGAAAAAAAAATCGCAAGAAAGTTGAAAATGGTTCAACTTTATTGCGGATCCGCAAAAAAGTTGACGTTTTCCCGCCAACGGAATTATTTCAAAAATTCCGCACCCGCAATCCGGAATTCCGCATCATGAGAACTAGGCTTAACGCTTTATTCGCTGTCTATACTGGAAATGGTTTGCATGATGTTCAGGAAGTATGGGTTAGTTTGGGTTAGTTGTTGGACCTCGGGTTTTCACTGCGACTGACATATATCCTGATTTTCATTGTAATGAGTTAAATTTTGTATGTAAAACGTAAAGTTATTCTTTGTTCTGCCCTGTTGTGTATTGTGCTCGATATTGTGATTGTATACCTTTGACTGTTTCTCATGCTTTGGTAAGACTTATTTTTTTCTGTTTTTTGTTTTTTTATTCTCTGTTTTGACTAATGTTTTAGCTTCAGTTTTAAGACTTTAGTTTAGTACCTACGACTTTGTCAGAAACATTTTTGTTTTAAGACAATAAAGCCGTCGTCTGACTTTGACGTGTTAATGTTTCTCAATTATTCGCGTTTTCTCTTGAGAATAGTTCACCCATAAAGCTATATGGAATAAGGATTCATCATGGTAAATTTGACATTTTCCTAAAGACTTCTTCACGTTTTTCGACGTAGGAAATTTTGTGGATAAAATCATACATGAACCCTCCGTTCAACTTTCCCTAAGGTAACGTCTCAACTCCGTTACTTAAATTAAAAACTCCTCACAAACTAGCGCCACGTTGATAAAGAATTAACGGCAGATTCTAGCGTATCATTTAGGGCCGCTCTCGAACGCCCACGTGACCGTTTTCATTATCGTTAACAAAGTAAATAGTCGGACGGAGTAGATATATTGTTTCAGCCGAACCAATCAATAGTTAATTATGTAATTCATGGTGCCAGTTCGCAGCGACACAATATTGATAGTGTCCCGAGGACATGCCAAATATGTGGCCGGCGCTTTGCGTTTACAAATACCATCCGGTAATGTTATTATACACTCTGGTGTAGTACGGGATCCGATGCGTGGGATTGTAATAACATATCCTAGCTTAAAATAATTTTTAAAAAGTATTAAATCTGAAGGTCGAAAATGGTCCGCTTTCTCGAAATCTCTATTAAACTAGAAAATGATGAGGTCATTGTTTTCAAGATCAAATTATATTGGCGTCAGGAATATGAAAACAATAAGACCACATGTGTTGAAGTTTCTTGGTACCTACAAATTATTTTTATTCTTAAACATCTCTATCATTTCAGCACCGCCCTGTTGGATACTCAGAAAATCGTTTAATCCGAAGAACAAATGTTCGAAAAAGGCCATAGCTCGAACGATATGTAAATCAAATAAAAGTCATTGGACTGTGTGCGCGAAAACGAAAAAGGGGTTGCGAGATAATTGTTTTTCTGGCTAAAGGGGGGCGCTAAACGCTATATGTCGATGGGAGAATAGACTCTATTTGGATTTGAGTCATTAGGAA